AAACTAAAGGGAATTCCTAAACTAAGGGAATTCATCATCACTAGAATGCCCTTTGAGAAATGCTTAAGGAAGTCCTAGATCTAAAAGAGAGAGAATGATAACAACCATCATGAAAACATGTGAAAGTATAAAACTCACTGTAGAGCATATACACAATTTAGAAAGAGAAAAACAATCAAACCTTATTAATACAGAAAACCACCAAACCTCAAAGATAAAGAATAAGAGAGGAAGAAAGTAACAAAGGATATACAAAACAATCAGAAAACAAACAGTCAAATATGTAAGATCTCACATATCAATAATAACTTTGAATTAAACAGATTAAATATATTAATTAAAAGACATAGACAGGCTGAATGGATAAAAAAATCTATATGCTACTTACAAGAAACTTACATTACCTATAAAGTCACAAAGACTGAAGGTGAGGGGATGGAAAAAGATATTCCATGCAAATGGAAATCAAAAGCAAGCAGGAGTAGCTATATTTGTATAAGATAAAACTGACTTTAAATCAAAAATTGCACAAAGAGATGAAAGATATTCTACAAGGGGTGTTCAAAAAGTTCATGAAAATTTTGTACTGCCTTTTAATTCTATTTTCCACAAATTTTTTGAAGTACCCTTTTATAATAAGGGGATCTGTACAGCAAGAAAATATAACAATTTTAAATACATATGCACCAACACAAGAGCACCTAGATATATAAACAAATATTATCAGATCTGAATGGAGACATAGACACCAACACAATAATAGTTTAGAATTTCAACACCACATTCTCAGCATTGGACAGATCATCAAGACAGAAAATTAACAAATAAACATGGGATTTAACTGCACCATAGACCAGATGGACCTAACAGACATTTACAGAACATTACATCCAACAGCTGCACAATTTACAATTTACACATTCTTTTCATCAGTACATGAAACATTCTGCAAGACTGACCGTATGTTAGGCCATTAAACAAGTCTCAACAAACTCAAAAAAATTGAAATCATATCAAGTATATTTCCTGACCGCAATGGAATAAAACTAGAAATCAATAGCAAGAGGAATTTGTGAAACTATACAAATACATGAAAATTAAACAACATGCTCCTCAACAACCAGTGGGTCAAAGAAGAGATTAAGAAGGAAATCAAAAAATTTCTTGAAAAACCTGAAACTATGAAACTACTAGAAGAAAACATAGGGGAGATAATCCATCGCATGGGGCTGGGCATAGATTTTTGGGATATGTCCCTCAAAAGTACAGGCAACAAAAGCAAAAATAGATAAATGATAAAACTAAAATAGATAAAACTAGCTTTCACACATCAAAAAAAATTGTTAACAGAGTGAAAAGACAACCTACAGAATGGGAGAAAATATTTGCAAACTATACATCTGAC